CAGTCACATTCTACTTTACTACCACACTCCAGGGTGTATACTAGCACCCCCTGACTTACTAACACAGTCACATTCTACTTTACTACCACACTCCAGGGTGTATACTAGCACCCCCTGACTTACTAACACAGTCACATTCTACTTTACTACCACACTCCAGGGTGTATACTAAAACCCCCTGACTTACTAACACAGTCACATTCTACTTTACTACCACACTCCCTGACTTACTAACACAGTCACATTCTACTTTACTACCACACTCCAGGGTGTATATTAGCACTCCCTGACTTACTAACACAGTCACATTCTACTTTACTACCACACACCAGGGTGTATACTAGAACCCCCTGACTTACTAACACAGTAATGGAGTGTGGTAGTAAAGTAGAATGTGTGTATACTAGCACCCCCTGACTTACTAACACAGTCACATTCTACTTTACTACCACACTCCAGGGTGTATACTAGCACTTTTTAACCTACTATAACAGTCTAGTGTGTATGGTTGTACCTCCTGTATATTATCACACGCATGTGCATATACTAGCACCCTCTTACCTACTGTGACATTACCCATTTATATATAAGCACTTTCTAACTTGCTATCAATGTCTATGTGTATACTAACAGTCCTAAACCTATTATCTATCACAGTCCCATGAGTAAAATAGCACCCCCTGATGTACCAACACAGTTCCTGATGTATTCTAGCACCTCCTAACCCACTATTTATCAGTCCCGTGTGTATACTAGCACCGCCTGACCTACCATCACAGTTCCTGATGTATGCTAGCACCCCTTAACCCACTATTTATCAGTCACGTGTGTATACTAGCACCCCCTGACCTACCATCACAGTTCCTGATGTATCCTAGCACCCCAACCCACTATTTCTCAGTCCCGTGTGTAAACTAGCACCTCCTGGCCTACCATCACAGTTCCTGATGTATCCTAGCACCCCAACCCACTATTTCTCAGTCCCGTGTGTAAACTAGCACCTCCTGGCCTACCATCACAGTTCCTGATGTATCCTAGCACCCCAACCCACTATTTATCAGTCCAGTGTGTATACTAGCACGTCCTAACCTATCACCACAGTCACAGGTGTTAACTAGCACCTCCTGACCTACTATCACAGCCTCATGTGTATACTAATGCCCTCTGTTTTATTGATTTAGTACTGTGCATACAGTAGCACTCCTGAACTACCATTACAGTCTCGGGTGTATACTAGCACTCCAGCTCTTACCAATTTAGTATTACATATATATACGAAGAACTTCAGACTTACAAGTTGTTTGATAACAGGTAGCAGCACTGTCGCAGTTGCTGTGTTGCTCGCTATTTCTGTCAAGGCTGCTGTCATGACACACAGTACAAATACGATGGCTGCTGGGGACAAGGAATCTAGATACATCAGCTGGTTACCAATCCACACCGATAAACCTGATTCCTAACATAAAAATAAACCCAACATGTCAATATTACCATGACATTCTAACAACACATCAATATTACCATGCCATTCTAACAACACATCAATATTACCATGCCATTCTAACAACACATCAATATTACCATGACATTCTAACAGCACATCAATATTACCATGACATTCTAACAGCACATCAATATTACCATGCCATTCTAACAGCACATCAATATTACCATGCCATTCTAACAACACATCAATATTACCATGCCATTCTAACAACACATCAATATTACCATGACATTCTAACAACACATCAATATTACCATGACATTCTAACAACACATCAATATTACCATGACATTCTAACAACACATCAATATTACCATGACAATCTAACAACACATCAATATTACCATGACATTCTAACAACACATCAATATTACCATGACATTCTAACAACACATCAATATTACCATGACATTCTAACAACACATCAATATTACCATGACATTCTAACAACACATCAATATTACCATGATAATCTAACAACACATCAATATTACCATGATAATCTAACACATCAATATTACCATGCCATTCTAACAACACATCAATATTACCATGCCATTCTAACAACACATCAATATTACCACGATATTCTAACAATACATCAATATTACCACGACATTCTAACAACACATCAATATTACCATGACATTCTAACAACACATCAATATTACCATGACATTCTAACAACACATCAATATTACCATGATAATCTAACACATCAATATTACCACGATATTCTAACAATACATCAATATTACCACGATATTCTAACAACACATCAATATTACCATGACATTCTAACAACACATCAATATTACCATGACATTCTAACAACACATCAATATTACCATGACATTCTAACAACACATCAATATTACCATGACATTCTAACAACACATCAATATTACCATGACATTCTAACAACACATCAATATTACCATGATATTCTAACATCGATTAGACATTAACTGTGCCACACGAAGTGAAACCTTAAGTATTGGTGGAGAAAGCCTAATGGTGCATCTTAATGCAGAATTAGTGTACGAAAACTTTGACCATCATGAGATGCAGTTCCTCAGTCTTCCAACACAAATACTAAATAAGTTAATATTGTGGAGATCGTGTTCTCAGATTACACAAAGTGCCAAGTACAACACAGTTGTGGATATTGTACCTTAAGTATACAGAATGTTTACATTATGAAACAGTACTTTTGGAATACCGAACACGCCAGATATGACACAACTTACTTCCAGAACACAAAACATTTCAGGGATATTGTACATTTAGGATACAGAACGTACCAGGTATGGATGTATAATAATGTTTGTTCTATTAGTGATATCTCACCTCTGATGCTTTAGCTAAAGCAAATCCTCCTCCAAGCAGTATTAATACTCCCCAAGGCATCTTATCCTGTGCTGTTTTCCAGTCCAATAATGGTGGGCTTGACCTGAACTGCCGAGGCTTAGCAGGTAATATAAACAACAACATACTGATAGCAATGGCTGGGGTGGCATCGTCAATTTTTCTGAAGGAAAGTAAAAAACATCCTGTTTTACATCAAGTTAGTAGCAATGAAGCCAAACATTATCCATGTTCCTAAATAATTCTTAATTACCGAAATCTAAAATGTTATTTATAGCTAGTTCACTCTGATAAAGATGGAAACGGACATAAAGGGAAACACATTCTGGTGGTTAAAAGCTTTCATCCGTCGAACACGAAACAAATAAGCTTAACGAAACTGATAAATCACGTCGTGAGTGACATTTTTTTTTTCATATTATTCTTAGTTATCCCTTTATCTGTCACAAGTCATTAACCTGGAGGAATCAACTACCGTTTATTCTAAATCTGGTACAACTAATTAAGAAGAATGTTAAAAATATGCTGCTAGATACACTTCCCATTTTAACTTCCCACTTCCCATGATGTCAAAGTTATTCTGCGAGCGTTACAATTTTTTTCCTTCTATGGTTTATTTGGTCAAAAATACAAACAGTATCAACTCACACATCAGAACTGAAAAGAGAAGCCCAGCCGGGCATAAACTCAGGGTCTCTCAGAAGCCACAGTAATATCAGTATTATAAACAGAATCAATACAGCTGCTTCATGGAAACTATAAGGGAGAGAAAAGCTTAAATTATAAATCCTATATAGTGAAATGTTAACGTTTTGGTGCAATGTCTGTTAACTGTTGTGAAACTTTGAAGTCATTTGTCCTTTGTTTGTATTATTACTAACTCACAAATGTTACGGAATAAGATCAACATTAATCAGCAGCTATACTAATTTGATGCCAAGAATACGTTTAAAGATTTGGATTTCTATTGAACGTAGGTGGATTATAAACTGTTGCTACGCTTATCACTGAAAGCTTATAAATCAAGTACAAAAAATTAAACTTCCAAGTCTCTGCAATTGGTGGAATACTCTCACATTCAAGTTTTATCTCCCGCTCATACAAGAATCTCTGTAAGACAGTTGTTTAATTGTAAACCTTACTGTAATAGTAAAACTACATAATTTGTGTTGATAAATCCCTTCAGGAGATTTCGAAGATCTGGTGTATATTACGCTTTATATATAGAAAGTTACACCGTGTCAACTGTTATTAGAATGTACTGTTTTACTTGTATTTTTCAAAGTTTTAAAAGTGGAGCATGCTCTGGGCCCCACCACCATAGAAATATGCACTTCTTGGCCAACTTGGCAGATGGAAGATAAAACATCGCTCTTTTTTTTCTTAATGATCATGTGTTAATGTTATTCTTCACATTCATTGTATAACACTTTCAATTTGTAACTAACGTATTGTTACGGTGTTTTATTGATCACTGTTAATCACAGTGCTGTAAAAAAGTGATACATAAAACAACATATGTAAACAGGTTACAAATTATCAAAAGCTTTATTATTATTTAATAATAATATGTTGCCATATCTCTCCGTAAGGGCAAAATACAAACTTATTAACTTACCTTATTACGCCTAGCTCTTTATACTTGCAAAGAATGATGTTCCTAATAGCATCTTGCTTTTTACTGATTTCTTTTGATCTACAACTAAAAGAAAATTAAAACAAATTTAATGTTGATATTTAATAGTTTTAAGAAACAATGTAAAAAACATTTTATTTTAAACTATTTTCAGAAATATGCTGGCTCTCATATTAGTTCATGACATTAACCGCCAGGGTATTCAACGAATATTTAAATACAAATAAAAATTATTTCAGCTAACATTTTGCCCATTTAACTTAAATATTTCGATAATTATTATAAATTTCTGAAAGATATCATACGTTGGTCTTCTATTGTGAGGGCCTAGTGCTTAGGGCACTTGATTCGCTACCTGTGGGTCGCGAGTTCTAATCTGACCACCTACGGTCAATCCCATTATTCATTGGTAAAGTTTGTAGACAAGCATAAAGCTACACTATGGGCTATTTGTGCTGGGCCTAGCGTTGGAAGTCCGCAGATATGCCGCTGTGCCACTGGGAGTATTTGTAAGTGACGTACTCTAATCACATATAAGCAAAATAGATTATCACTTACTTCTCTAGAGATTGACGTTCATTTTGACTTTATTTGATGTTACTTAGTGGATTATCCATCTTAATCTTAGAGTAGTGGATTATTCCTCAGTAATCTCTAGTTTAACAATACTTAATAAATGCATTACAAACAACTTTAACAACACTTTTTCAATGGCAGATATGCAACTTTTTATAAATCGTGGATTACCAGTAGGTAATGAGTAACATAATAACGAATTATACATACTGCCAATATAGATTCTTGTCATTTTAGCACCTGTGGATTACATATGCAGGAATATTTGTACCGTTTGCTTGTTGTTTTCATTTCATGCAATACTACTCAAGGCTATCTGTGCTAGCCATCCCTAATTTTGAAGTAATAGACTAGAGAGAAGACACCTAGTCTACTAGCACCCACTGGGTCACTCTATCACAATATAATGCCCCCATATTGAAATGGAAAGAATGTTGAGGAATAGGTTTCAAGTCGATAACAAGTCGAGCGCTCTAACTGCAAGACCATGCCAGGCTGGAACATTTTTAATGTTTTATAAAATAATATTAGAATGTTGTGTTACTGAACACAGTGTCCCCCAGCGGCATGTCTGCGGACTTATACAGCTAAAAACCAGGTTTCCAGCCCCGTGGTGGGCAGAGCACAGATAGCCCTTTGTGTAGCTTTGTGCTTAATAACAAACAACACTTACTGAACACAAAAACTTACCGAACACCAATAAAGATAACTTGCAAAAAGGCCCAGGCTATCAGAACACACAATAACATACTAGGCACGTTGTACGTCATCCAGGACCCATAAGTAACGTCTTTAGCCTGAGGAAAGTAGCTGTAACATGGCATAGAAACTTTAGGTACTCTAACAAACAGCTGTTGTTTATATGGAAGATAGCACAAAAATGGAAAATATTTTCGTACATAACAGAACAGCAAATTAAATGCATTGTAGTAAGTAACAGACAATAAAACAAACTACTGTTTCAGGTTAACTTAGCAAATAATATCACATTACTTGTAAGTTGTAACTAGGTTTTGATAAATACACCATTCATAACTTAAAATATTTGAGAGAATAAAACGATTTTTAAAATTTTAATATTATGAATGAACATCAACTCATCATTTTTAGTTTCTAACAGTATGTGTGAATATCGACACATCATTC